CCCCAAAACCCCAAAACCCCAAAACCCCAAAACCCCAAAACCCCAAAACCCCATTGGACGAGCAAATATTGATAACCGGATTAGCACTATTAAATCAAGAGGACATAGAAGACAAACAAGCATCACAATATTCACGGCAGTCAATTGTTGAAAAGGTTGACTTGGACAAGATTCGGATCCTGATTCTGCCTAGCAGCCCTGTTATTTCTCCCTCTTTGATACCTCTGCTGTTGAAAGTAGTTCAATGGGTCAATCTCTTCTTCATATTCCTCTGTCTCACGGGTATGTCTTCTTCTAGCTCCTTGACCACCAGTATTGCCATTAAGGAGATCGAAGATATTAATCCCTGAGCCATTTCCAAAGGGGTCCCTCTGCTGTCTTCTTGTGCCTCCATTAGTATGGGCTCTGGTTGTTCTACCTCCATTGCCAAAATTAGTGGTATAAACAGTAAATGAGGACCCGCCTCCATTAAAAAGATTTGCAAAAGGGTCTCCACCTGCTTGTTGGAAGAACATCCTGAAGATCTCATTTGGATCAATGTTGTTCGGGTTGAATTGGGTCTGGAACTCATCCTCAGTGCCGTGCAAATCGTACATCTACAGCATAAACTTTTAAAAAGTACCTTTCTCTTTTGCTCATCTGAAAGACATGCGTAAGCAGCCGATATTTTCTTAAATATTTCAGTGGCATTTTCAGATTTATTTTTGTCAGGATGGTATTTCAACGCTAGCTATAAAAATATTCGTAAAACAGCTGTTATACCTTCCTATAAGCTTTATTTTATCTGGTCTGCAGTTGCTTCCTTGGAAACTCCGAGTATTTCATAATAATCTGTCTATAAATCAGGGTAAATCATGACAAAATTTATGCCAAAAATGTTGCTGAAAATTCTGACTGTTAAAGGGTGAGAATGATTACATTTTCTTTCATAAATCTTGCTTCGTCACTCTCCATATTTTTAATATTCGATTTTAAAGCACAAAAATGGGGTTTTGGGGTTTTGGGGTTTTGGGGTTTTGGGGTTTTGGGG